AAGCATATAGTGAAGTCTCGTCCTCCGGGATGAATCCTTCCCTGGAATTCATCAATCTCTTGAGTGTTCCACCGGGAGCGTACTCCAGCAAAAGATTGTACATAGTGTTCCCATGCTCTACGCTCGTATCCTCTCCTAAACACTGAATTATATAGGGACATCTTTGCAACTTTCTCAATATTTGCCCTTCTCCCAAAATGGAACTTGAAAACTCGATCTTTGAAGACTTCGCAACTAACTTCATCGGAACACTGAAGGTAGGTGGATTATAATATTGAGAGAGAAATACAATGCCATGGGCTCCCCCACCAAGGAGTTCTAACTTTTCGCAAGGCATTCTGATGATCAGTACTAAGGTTCGTATATAGTAAGATCGATGATGATGAATTGGAATTGATGACCCACCCAATGGGTACCAAAGTATTATATAGGACTTGGGATAATCTATCAGTCCAACTAAATTTAGTATTGGGATAATCTCTCTATCCAATTAAGTATAGTATTAAGAAACTTTATTTCAATAATAAAAAATTATATAGTAATCCCACTTCAATCCGGAATAGAATTCAGAAACATATTAGTCGGAGAAAGAAGGGTAGTTTGGGTAAAAAATTATATACGCGCTACGGTGGCACAGCCCAGTATTCCGAAACGGATTTGCCTCTGCTCAGCCATTTTTTCCGGCGACCACCACGAATTGAAGAACACTACACAGACCTGAGCTCCACGTTGTACTTGTACAGCCGCTGAAAGGGAATATTAGTAGGAGAAAGAAGGGTAGTTTGGGGAACTCCATCTGTCCCCATATCAACACATCTTTGAATTTATTTATTTTTAAGGAAAATGATACTTATATTTTTAAATTATACTCTCAACTTTTAATTCATCTTTCAAAAATTTAGAACTTTTTCCTGGGACTCACATAATAATAAATAATTTTTTAATTCTATTTTTTTAAACTCAATATTTGAAAATTTATTTTTTGAAAAATTAATATTCAACATTTTATTAGGGAAAATAAGATAGAAGAGTGAACCGCGGGGCTAATACAATTGGTTCGACTGATCACCTTGGAAACTTGGAGGTTATTAGATTGTAACAGCATACACATAATTTGAACGTCATTTTAGATTAAGATATACAATACATAATAGACCTTAATTCATTATATAATTTTTTGACACGGAAGAGTTGAGCGCATAAAGAAAATAAGAAAAATAGGAAAGAAGAGTTATCAACAACGTTTGAAATTTTCTTGTCTTGCATCAATAAAATCCCGTACGTGAAGAACGATTTTATTAAAAAAAAACAAAAAACAAAAAAAACAAAAACAAAGGAAGAATATTTTTACTCATTTGACAATGCTACAACAATTTTGTTTGTATTTTTGTCACCAAATCCAGCAAGGGTTTGGGCATGCTCGGATGGCTGACCAATAAACGCAAATTCTTGCTTATAGGGGCAATGTAGGGGTTTGAAATAATGTGTCTCCAAGTTTGTATCTTAGCTAAACTTTATTTTAAAAAGTGGATTTAACAAGTCTAAGCCCTAAGGGGTCATTGTGTATTATATTATACCATGCATGAATAGAATTTTAATAATACAGTTAGTTTTACGACGTTAGATAGAGGGTGGGCCAACACTAAATTATAGAAACATGCATGTGTTACATCATCTAAATTAAAAATTTAAATTGTTAATTAGGGTGTTTTTTTAATAGTTTTATTTTTGGACAAATTTTTAAGAGTCATGTAGAACATGAGGAGAAAAAAGAAATAGTATTTACTGACGGTGGTCGCCAATTGGCGAACACCCTCAATGCACCCACGGGGCGTTGTTAGTGCGCTTAACGCGCACCAATTGAATTTTTTAAAATTATATTGTGGGGCCCACTGCATGCGACAAAAACTTGGGTCCCCTACAAGAACGCCATCCTTTCTTTCTCCCCCTTCTCTCACTTCCACATAAGCTATTTTGCATCAAAAATCTCACCATGAACCACTAATGGAGATGGCCTTAGATTGAATATTAGCTCCCTCATGTGTGCAAGCCAATACTTTTGACAGGATCCAAGCAACACGTGGACTAGGGTTGGCTCTGATATATATATATACCAAATTGAAATATGTACTATATCTCAACGAAAAGTCTAAGATGATAGTTGGATTCCACATTTAAGTTTATATATTATATATTCAACACATGCACACAGAGCCGAATTTTGGGGTGTGCAAAATGCCCAAGAGCACATGACCTTAATTTTTAGAGGACCTAATATTTATTTTTGACCTAATTATTTAAAAAAAAAATTAAAAAAAAAATCAGCAATTAATCTTGAAACTCATCCAATTTTTCAACAAATCATTTCTCTCTCATAATAATTATGACTTTTTTTTGAGGATATAATAATAATTATGACCTAATTAATTGAGCATGTCACATGACAAAATTGTTATATTTAATTTCTCCAACTCAAGCCTTGAATCTGCAGAAATAATTTAAAACCTGTATCATTTACTAGTTCACCACTAATATCGCCTAAGAAATTGATTCTTCCCCAATATAATCAATCAATTCAATATATATTTCAGGAAACTAATGGCGTACAAATATCAACAAATTAAGTTGTATTTTACCTAAATTTGATTGCACTACTTGCTTCTCTGATCTTTCATAATTCATCTCCTGCATTCAAATTGATTGCCTGTACTATTCAAATATAAAGCACTAAGAATGTTCCTCTTCTAATACCAGAAGAAATAAGTTTGTTTAAGCTCAGATTTTTGTAGAGTAGAACATGACAGGTAAGCATATCCAAAAACAAAAAAGAACTTACAACAATAGAAATTTACGGTCAAATCAGAATTAAAAATCAAATATTGGTGAAAGAAGTTAGTCTGATCTGATCATCATATATAATTTCATAGAGCTGAGATTAAGGTGAACCATGCTTATCTTTATCTTTCCAAAAGAGATATACCTTATATATATATATATATATATATATATATATATATATATATATATAAACCTTGAAATTGGGAGAGATTTACAATAAACTTCATAATCAGTAAAATCTATAAAGAACAGTTGACATTTATATTTCAAGATTACAAAGGTAAACACAGATTGATAACTAACAAAAACTCATAACTCCGTTGCACCCGTTCCAAAAAAAAAAAATATAATAAAAAGCATGAAGTTTGTTTTAAAACGTCCCTTTTCTTTTCTAAAACCCTATTCCTTTCCTATGCCCTGCCTATTAGTTCATCCCTTCCCCACGGCGGCAATCGAAAATGCATGACGAAATCGGAGTGGAAAATAAATCAATACTAGAAATCCATTCTCCAGTCCCGAAAGCCCTATTGCCCAAGCCTTGACGATCCTCCCATCTTTGACATAGCAGCGGATTGGTATTGGCAACAAATGGATGATTGAGTAGCTTATCAGCAGTCCATCTAACGTTTGGGTTTCTTTCAAAACACTTCATCAGAAAATCATTGGCATGATTAGATATGCCGGTTGGGATTTGGGGTTGCTTGAAGGCCATGTCTTGAGCTAACTTATCGTCACCGTTACCGTAACAGAACTTCCATGGTGATTCCCCGGTCATCATCTCGGCCACCATGCACCCTACGGCCCATATATCCTTAGGCGCCTCGTGCATGCCACAAAACAAAGATTCCGGGGAGGTGTAGAGTAAAGCTCCCCGGTGACCTCCCTCTCCCGCGACCTTAGATAGCCGAAAATCGCCTATCTTGAGTTGATTCAAGCCGCAGCCGCACCTGCATGGGAAGAGAAGAATGTTGTTGGGCTTCAAATCGCAGTGGACAATCCCGAGACGATGCACCTCTAAGATTCCCTTCAAAAGTTGATAAGCATATAGTGAAGCCTCCCCCTCCGGGATGAATCCTTCCTTGGAATTCATCCATCTCTTGAGTGTTGCACCCGGAGCATACTCCAACAGAAGGTTGTACATAGTGTTTCCATGCTCTACGCTCGTATCTTCTCCTAAACATTGAATTATATAGGGACATCTTTGCAACTTTTTCAAGATTTGTCCTTCCCGCCGAAGTGAACTAGAAAACTCGACCTTCGAAGACTTCGCGGCTAACTTCATCGGAACACTGAAAGTAGGTGGATTATAATATTGAGAAAGAAACACAATGCCATGGGCTCCCCCACCAAGGAGTTCCAACTTTTCGCAAGGCATACTGATTATGAATACTAATAAGGTTCGTATATAGTAAGATCAATGATGATGAAGAATTGGAATTGATGATCCACCAAGTATTGAGTACCGAAGTATTATATAGGACTTGGGATAATCTCTCAGTCCAACTAAGTTTAGTATTGGGTAATCTCTCAATCCAATTAAGTATAGTATTAAGATAAAAAATCAGTAGAAAATTATATACTAATCCCAGATCAATCCGGAATAGAATTAAGAAACAGATTGGAACTCAAGTAATTAGGAAAGTTAAGAACATTGTAGACTAGAAAATTAGGAAATAATTAACTAATACATATAAATATTTGTTCTTTTATATATATATATATTGTGAATAAAATAAATTCGGTGGTCCTAATTATGAAATAAAAATAAAAAAAAAATTTCAAATTTCAGTCTGACATAATAATTAAAATATCTAACCAAATATAAACACAATAATATGATATATTATTAATTAATACATATCGTTTAAATTAAAATCAAATTTAGTGTGTGATAGCATCCATAACACGGTATATGGGTTAGGTAGGTGCTCTATTTGGTAGCGTTTATTTTAAAATTTATAACTTATTTTAATCTATAAAAAAGTTATAACTCTGATCTGCTTGATGAAACATAATGAGCTTAAAATAATAGAGAGTAGTTTATTTTAAAATGTCCCTCCAAGATTTCAAATTATGGCATGAAACACAATATTGTTACAAACATATCATATATAGTACAAGTTCGAATCAAATTGAAGCCTATCATTTGTCACAAGACTGTGTTTAATAAGAATCCAATAGAACAATTTTATTGAAATAAATTTATTTAGTAGATATGACTATATGAGTGCATTATAAAAAAATGTTGTAATGTACTTAGTACACCACCTCAATTGTCTCAAACCCTTTGTGAATGGATGCCATGATTGCATCCACCACCAGCTGCGTCTTCCGGCTAACAACCGCCCACTTCTTCTCCGGCGAACTCCCACTCCCGGCCAGATTACAGAACTCCATCACCATCAGAGCATCCTGAGGAAGCTCCGAATTCACACCGTGCTCAATTAACCGATAGCTTTCAAAGGTGTAGAACGACGGCGCAGACTGTTCTGGGAAAGGGGTGACGAAGTCGTGGACGCGCAGCTTTCCGGCGGTCCCGTAAGCGAAGATGTCCATGGCCATATCGGCCAGGGAGGAGCAGTAGAAAGTGGCGACTCTGCCGTCTTTCCATTTCAGAGAAGCGCCGCAGGAGAGAATGACCCCGGCTTCGTTCACCTCCGGGTCGCGGAACGCCGTCACGGATTCCGGCAGTTCGTAGTCGGTGGTCAACAGGACTGCGCCGATGCTGTGCCAAGCGTTGTCGCCCAGCGCATCCACATCTGGCGTTTCGCCAACGGAAAACGAAACGTTGCAGTGCACCTGCGCACACGCGCGCGCGCACACATATATATATATATATAGAATTACATTCATGTAAAAACAGGGCTTAAAATACGAAGGACATTTTTGGATCGTTGAATTTTAGGTATCTAAGGTTGTGATTAGCTTTTATGATTTTGTGTGCTGCCCGTGTGTGCACGGTCGTTCATGGATGTGTGCATGCCGATCCAAATATTGTGTATTCACATGCATACTATATTGGTTGTGTGCATTGTCGTCCACAGATATGTGCACACCCGCGTTTAGGTGGGTACACGGTATATCCGTAATTGTATTTTAAGGATGTTTCCCCTATATATATATATATATATATATATATATAAATTTTTTTTTAGCTAGCCGAAAATTCACAACCATTATGGAACTTACGGATTTGAGTTGGCCAAGGCGCAGAGGATCAGAGAGGAACTCTTTCATCTTAGCAGTTCGAGGATGATGCATCCACGAGGTAGCATCCATGTACTGGACCCCACTGGACTCGCACGCCGCCAGAATCAGGTCCAGCTCCGCCGCGTTCAGCGCCACCGGCTTCTCCACCAAGACGTGCTTCTTCTTCTGCGCCGCCAGGACGGCCCACCGCACGTGGAGGCTGGTGGGGAGAGCGATGTAAACGGCGTCCACGTCCGGATCATCCAGCACGGCGTCGTAGCTGCCGTAAAGTTTCGCGGTGGCAGGGCAGTCGTTCTCTGCGGCAAACGCCGCAGCCTTCTCCGCCGTGCTGCTGCCCACGGCGGAGATGGTGGCGTTCGGAGCCAGCGATATAGCTCTGGCCAGCTTTCGCGCTACGGTGGCACAGCCCAGTATTCCGAAACGGATTTGCCTCTGCTCTGCCATTTTTCCCGGCGACCACCACGAAGAAGATTACAAAGAGCTGAAAGTAGTTGTCTCTTATAGTAGTAGAAAAGAAGGGGAGCATGCACGTCTCGTATTTATTTATTTATCTTTAATTCATTTGCCTAAACGTTGCTTAGACGTCGAGGCAAATGATTATTTAATACATTTTATAAATAAATAATTTTTTTAAAATTTAATTTGGTTTAAATTTAGTATAATCTTTTTTGGATCAATAAAATCCGTACATTGTGGGCAATAAATTCTGTACGCGAAGAAAATTTTACTCATTTCACAAGTGACAATACTACAACAATAATTTATATTGTGGTAAGGACAACATTGAGGTATCTTATTCACTTTGTATTTGTCACCAAATCCGGCAAGGTCCGGGCATACTATAATCAATCAATATAAATTCTTCTTCCAAAATGAATGAATCTCGATCCCTGGTCATTCTTTTAAAATTTCACCTATGTGACCAGTTGAGCTGCTCATGCGAGTCAATCAATATAAATTCTTACTTTTAGAGATGTTTGCCAAAGACCTGGTGGTCAATCATCATAGTTGTGGTTCTTCCAAATAGGGATTATTGGTTCTATGGTTAGTGATAGTGAGTTTGAAACGTCTCCAAGTTTGTATTTTGTCTAAATTTTATTTTAAATAGTAGTATTAATAAGTTTAACGGGTCATTGCGTATTATAATTATGAACATATAGTTTAGTAATTATGAACATAGAACCGTGTCCACTTTGCAAGGTGGACACGGTTTACCTCATCGCAAATTATGCTGTGGACTCGTGTCCACAATGCATTGTGGACACGAGTCCAAAACAACGTCGTTTTCAAGGAAAACGTGGCATTTCAGTTTTAAAAAAAAATTGATTTCTTCTCGTCGTTAAGGGCGTTATTCGTTTGTGGCATTATTAATGTACAGTTATGGAATTATGAATGTACAATTATGGAATTATGAATGTATGTTATGGAATTATGAACACAGAGCTCTGACATTATGAACTTACAATTATGAACATATAGTGATAAAATTATGAACATAGAGCTCTAAAATTGTGAACATAGAGCTTCGAAAATTGTGAATGTACAGTTATATGGAATTATGAATGTACAGTTAGGGAATTATGAATGTACAGTTATAGAATTATGAATGTACAGTTATGGAATTATGAATGTACAGTTAGGGAATTATGAATGTACAGTTATAGAATTATGAATGTACAGTTATGGAATTATGAACACAGAGCTCTGACATTATGAACTTACAATATGAACATATAGTGATAAAAATATGAACATAGAGCTTCGAAAATTAAGAATTTACAGTTATTGAATTATGAATGTACAGTTCGGAATTATGAATGTACAGTTATGGAAGTATGAATGTACAGTTATGGAATTATGAACACAAAGCTCTGACATTATGAACTTACAATTATGAACATATAGTGATAAAATTATGAACATATACTCCTATAACGAAGCGATCTGAAATAAAAAAAAAAAAGTGAAAGATAACGGTGCCACTAACGGCACTGTTACCGTGTCCACAATGCATGCTGGAAATAAAATTTTTTATTAATTTGAAATTAATTATTTTATTTATTTTATTTTTTTGAAAACAATTATTTTATTTAAAATTATTAAAATAAATTTTAAAAATTATTTTTTAAATATAGTACCCGACACGTCAGGATATAAAATCAAGAAAATGGTCAAATGCTTAGTAGGATAATAAAAATAATAAAATATACACGTGACAACCCAAACATGTTGTTAACCTGCTAAAAATGTTAATTGCAATTTTTTTCCAAGTTGAAGGATGGATTTGGAGCTTATTCCTGTTGGGTAATTTAATTGTTATCCCCAAATAGTTCAATGACCTATTTGTATATTTTTTCCTAATTTTAATGGTGTTGTTCAATGTTTAAACTTATCGTGTTTGTCCCGCATTAGCAATCTCTTGACATGAATTGTCAAGTTGTTATAGATATATAGATATATATATATATATATATATATATATATCTAGTAAAGCAAATTGCAATTCCCTATTTCCCTTATTCTTTAACATCTCCGGTTCTTCACAATGTAATGAGTAATATGTAAAAACTTGCAGCGAGATCGCCATTGTTTTCTTCACAGATCTGTGCTGCAATATTGTGTAATTACATGGATGGCCCTATGCAGACCTTACGGCTCCATAACGCTGTGTTCTTCTGCTTCATTCATCCTTGTTTTGAAGAAACAACTTCGAATTCCATCCTTTTAGTGGAACAATATAATATCGCCATTAGTTCAGATCAAGAAAATGGAAATGGAGTATATATATATATATATATATATATATATATATATATATATATATATATATATATATATATATATATACTACAGCCTGCAGATTCTAGCTTAATTAGCTTGCTTGTCTTTTGATGATGGGTTTCTGGCAAACTAAAAGTCTCTCGTCGCTATTGCTTTTGATGATAATCCATCCCTGCAGCACCATATATGGCGTACAAATATCAACAAATTAAGTTGTATTTTACCTAAATTTGATTGCATTACTTGCTTCTCTGATCTTTCATAATTCATCTCCTGCATTCAATTTGATTGCCTGTGTTCAAATATAAAGCACTAAGAATGTTCCTCTTCTGATACCAGGAGAAATAAGTTTGTTTAAGCTCAGATTTTTGTAGAGTAGAACATGACAAGTAAGCATATCCAAAAACAAAAAAAAGAACTTACAACAATAGAAATTTACGGTCAGATCAGAATTAAAGATTAAATATTGGTGAAAGAAGTTAGTCTCATCATCATATATAATTTCATAGAGCTGAGATTAAGATGAACCATGCTTATCTTTATCTTTCCAAAAGAAAAGTTGACATTTATATTACAAGATTACAAAGCTATGCACAGATTGATAACTAACAAAAGCTCGTAACTCCCCACCCCCCTCCACCACCAAAAAAAAAAAAAAAAAAAACATGAAGTTTGTTTCAAAACATCCCTTTTCTTTCCTAAAACCCTATTCATTTCCTATGCCCTGCCTATTAGTTCATCCTTTCCCGCGCGGCAGCTATCGATAGTTCATGACGAAATCGGAGTGGAAAATAAATCAATACTAGAAATCCATTCTCCGGTCCCCAAAGGTCTATTGCCCAAGCCTTGACGATCCTCCCATCTTTGGCATAGCAGCGGATTATCGGTATTGGCAACAAATGGATGATTGAGTAGCTTATCAGCAGTCCATCTAACGTTTGGGTTTTTTTCGAAACACTTCATCAGAAAATCCTTGGCATGATCAGATATGCCGGTTGAGATTTGAGGTTGCTTGAAGGCCATGCCTTGAGCTAACTTATCGTCGCCGTTAGTGTTACAGAACTTCCATGGTGATTCCCCGGTCATCATCTCGGCCACCATGCACCCTATGGCCCATATATCCTTAGGTGCCTCGTGCATGTCGCAAAACAAAGATTCCGGGGAGGTGTAGAGTAAAGTTCCACGGTGACCTCCCTCTCCCGTGACCTTAGATAGCCGAAAATCGCCTATCTTGAGTTGATTCAAGCTGCAGCCATACCTGCATGGGAAGAGAAGAATGTTGTTGGGCTTCAAATCGCAGTGAACAATCCCGAGACGATGCACCTCTAAGATTCCCTTCAAAAGTTGATAAGCATATAGTGAAGCCTCTTCCTCCGGGATTAATCTTTCCCTGGAATTCATCCATCTTTTGAGTGTTCCACCGGGAGCGTACTCCAGCAGAAGATTGTACATAGTGTTCCCATGCTCTACGCTGGTATCCTCCCCTAAACAGTGAATTATATAGGGACATCTTTGCAACTTTCTCAATATTTGCCCTTCTCCCCAAATGGAACCTGAAAATTCGTCCTTCGAAGACTTAACGGCTAATTTCATCGGAACACTGAAAGTAGGTGGATTATAATATTGAGTGAGAAATACAATGCCATGAGCTCCCCCGCCAAGGAGTTCTAACTTTTCGCAAGGCATACTGATTATGAATACTAAGGTTCGTATATAGTAAGATTGATGATGATGAAGAATTGAAATTGATGATCCACCAAGTGTTGGGTACCGAAGTATTATATAGGACTTGGGATAATCTCTCAGTCCAACTAAGTTTAGTATTAGGTAATTTCTCAATCCAATCAAGTATAGCATTAGAGAAAAAAAATCAGTAGAAAATTATATAGTAATCCCCGATCAATCCGGAATAGAATTAAGAAACCGATTGGAACTCAAGTAATTAGGAAAGTTAAGAACATTGTAGACTAGAAAATTAAGAAATAATTAACTAATACATATAAATATTTTGTTCTTTTTTATACATATTGTGAATAAAATAAATTCGGCGGTCCTAATTATAACATAAAAATTAAAAACTAGCGTTTAGTAATATTTCAAATTTCAGTCTGACATAATAATTAAAATATCTAACTAAATATAAACACAATAATGTGATATCTATCTACTATCTACTATCTATCTACTATATCTACTATCTACTATCTACTATCTACTATACTAATAAGAGCCCAAGAGAGTTAGGCCTATAATGGGTAGAAAAAATGGCGGTCACAGATTTTAATCAAATGAATGGCTCAGATTGATTAAAAGATTGATAAGATTTAAATTTTACACTAAAATTTCCTAAAATACCCACACACCGTTACTAATTCCGTTAAAATTTTAAGAATTGCCGTTAGTTCACCGTTAACTTACTCATTGATTTCAATAAAAAAAAAAAAAAAAGGTCTTAGGTTCGAACCTCATCCCAATCAAAGTTGGCATAATTAGTACAATTTTAAGAATTGCCGTTAGTTCACTGTTAACTTATTGATTTCAATAAAAAAAAAGGTCTTAGGTTCGAACCTCATCCCAATCAAAGTTGGCATAATTAGTACTCTATTTTACTCTTATTAAATTATATAAATAATAATTTTGTAGCTACAACAAAAAATTATAGATATGCATTTCTTTAATTTAGAATTATGTGTTCACAATGCCTTTATTCAAAAAAGAAAATTATTCATTATCAATAAATTAAATAAGAGAAGTAATTGTATTAGTTATATTGTCTTTATTTTTCTACAATATAAAAATTCTTTATATTCAAATTTATTAATTGATTATATTCGCTACATTGTCCTTACAATGTCTTAATACAGTGAAAAAAAATTATTCATTATCAATAAATTAATTAAGAGAAATATTTTTATTAGTTATATTATCTTTATTTTTCTCAAATGTAAAAATTTTTACATTCAAATTCATCAATTGATTATATTCACTACATTGTCTATTATCTTTTTTGTGCACTATTTTTCTAATTAAATATCAAAGTTATAATACAAAATAATGCTATATATTTATTTACCAAGTATTTTATTACTACCATGAAAAAATTAAAAAAATATATAATTAATAATGCCAACCATATTAACTACTTGAGAGATTTTGTGACAAAGAGAGTATTTAAATCACACAACAAATTGAAGTGAGAACTACCTTGCAATGTCCTTGTTTGACAATCAACCGTTAGCGCGCGAATTATATTAGCGGATTTGACCAACGAATTTATTTAATTATTAACATTGGGTAGAAAAATGACCGCCAAATTATTAAATCAAATGAATGGTTCAAATTGTTCAGGTTTTATTTTTTTAAAATTTTTTTTCTAATTTATCCTTAATTATATGATTATCCATTTAACTTTTCCATTAAATAGCGTTAATTCACCGTTAGTCTAATTATAATATTAACGTCTTCATCCCAAATGCTCTGTCGGGCCGGGGTGTGGGGGGCCCTTAGGGTTGGGGTTCAGCCTTTTGGAAGAATAATATTAACGTCTAATATAGAAATATAATTACACCATTAATCTAATTCTAATATTAAAGTCTTCATAGAACTTAACCACAAATCCTAATGTCGAAATCTCCTCAAACAATATTAGTATATATTTAATATTTTATGCCCTAATTTTTATTTGTTCTCCCTTATGTCCCGTATTTGGTTTCAACCATACCTATATAATTATTTTATTGACAATTATAATCAATCTTGACTATATTATCTTGCATTTGTAAACTTAGAATTACCTATTTAACCCGCACGGGCTTAGCTCAATGGTTTAGTGGGCAGTATTTGGGAGAAGAGACCAAGGTTTGAACCTCGGCGGCGGCAGTGCGGGAATTATGTCCAAAGTGGGCAGATTCCTTGTTCGCACCGGCATTTGGTCCTGTCTGCTGAACCATTGAGTCACCGTGATTTACAACTTCCTACAATGCTCTGTCGGGTCAGAGTGTGGGGGGTCCTTGGGGTAGGGGACTCAACCGTTGGGAGAAGAATTACATATTTAAATACTCAAATTCAACCTTCAATTATCTATGCATGAACAATTTCAATATAATCTTGCCTTAATATACTTTAAAATACTTATTTAAAAAAAACATTGGGCATTATCCCAATCGCGCAATGCGCGTAAAAAACTAGTATACTAATAAGAGCCCAAGAGAGTTAGGCCTATAATGGGTAGAAAAAATGGCGGTCAAATTTTTTAATCAAATGAATGGCTCAGATTGATCAGATTTTAATTTTTCCTTAAGATTTACTAATTTATCCTTAATGAATATATTATCCGTTAATTTTTCCGTTAAATATTTTCTTTTCCGTTAATTTCTGTTAGTTCACCGTTAACTTACTCATTGATTTCAATAAGAAAGGTCTTAGGTTCGAACCTCATCCCAATCAAAGTTGGCATAATTAGTACTCTATTTTACTCTTATTAAATTATAAAAATAATAATTTAGTAGCTACAACAAAAAATAATACATATGCATTTCTATAATTTCGAATTATGTGTCTACAATGTCTTTAGTCAAAAAAAATTATTCATTATCAATAAATTAAATAAGAGAAATAATTTCATTAGTTATATTATCTTTATTTTTCTCCAATATAAAAATTCTTTACATTCAAATTCATCAATTGATTATATTCGCTACATTGTCCCTACAATGTCTTTATTAAAAAACAAATTATTCATTATCAATAAATTAATTAAGAGAAATAATTTTATTAGTTATATTATCTTTATTTTTCTCCAATGTAATAATTCTTTACATTAAATTCATCAATTGATTATATTCACTACATTGTCTATTATCTTTTTTGTGCACTATTTTTTTAATTAAATATCAAAGTTATAATACAAAATAACGATATATATTTATTTACTAATAAGTATTTTATTAATATCATGAAAAGATTTAAAAAATATAATTAATAAAGCCAATCATATTAATTACTTGAGGGATTTATTGACAAAGAGAGTATTCAAATCACACAACAAATTGAAGTTAGAACTATCTCGCAATGTCCTTGTTTGACAATCAGCAGTTAGCGGTTAGCGTTAACGATATTAGCGGATTTGACCAGCGAATTCTATCAACGGTTGATAAAAAGATATTTGAAAAATTTAGATGTTTAGATTAACATGTAAAATGACCTAAGGGTATACATATATTTAATAATAATAATAATAATAATAATAATAATAATAATAATAATAATAATAATAATAATAATAATAATAATAATAATAATAATAATAGTTTTAAAAAGGGAAAATGGCACTTTTTCCCCCTATGTTATATACTTATAGCACTTTTTCCCCCTCAATTATTTAAGTGGCTCTTTTTCCCCCTGAAATGTTAAATGGACATATTTACCCTTAAAATAAATATTTCATTTATTTTTATTCTCCAATAAATTATTACTATAATTTGGTTCAAACCAGATACTATAGTAACCAAACCAAAATATTCCAATTACAATTTATAATCAAAACGCGATATTTAGAGTTTATTAAAATCGCGAACTGGAATGGCCGGTTCATGTTCCAAACTGAAAAAATAAAATACATTTATTGTTGAATTTAAACTATTTTAAAATAAAAAATAAAATTTTAAAATAAAGACGGTTCAAAATCGCAAACGGGATCCAGAACCGCCGGTTCTTGATCTAGTTTTTTTTTTTTTTTTTCTTAAATTTAATAAATTGAAATCCAAATATTGGGTTCTAGATCTGAATCATAACTGAAAACTTTTAGTTTGATTGCTATAGTGTCTGGTTCAGTTCGAACCGAACCGTGGTAATCGCTACATATACGCAATAATTTGTTGGAGAAGTAAAATAAATAAAATGTTTACTTTAAGGGTAGAAATGTCAATTTAATATATTAGGGGAGAAAACCACCACTTTTAAAATAATTGAGGGGACTAATGTGCTTACATAAATAATTGAGGGGGAAAAAGTGCTATAAGTATATAACATAGGGGGAAAAAGTGCCATTTTCCCTTTTAAAAAAATAAAAAAATAAAAAATATAAGTAAGCCAATCATATTAACTACTTGGGGGATTTATTGACAAAAAGAGTATTCAAATCACACAACAAATTGAAGTGGGAAACTACATCGCAATGTCCTTGTTTGGCAATCAACAGTTAGCTCTTCAATATTAGTATATATTTAATATTTTATGCCCTAATTTTTATTTGTTCTCCCTTATGTCCCGTATTTGGTTTCAATCATACCTATACAATTATTTTATTGACAATTATAATCAATCTTGACTATATTATCTTGCATTTGTAAACTTAGAATTACCTATTTAAATACGCAAATTCAACATTCAATTATCTATGCATGAACAATTCCAATATAATATTGCCTTGATATACTTTAAAGTACTTATTTAAAAAAAACATTGGGCATTATCTCAATCGCGCAATGCCGTAAAAAACTAGTATTATTAATACATATCGTTTAAGTTGACATCAAATTTAGTGTGTGATAAGCATTCTTAGCTTGGTATACTTGGATATGCATGATGAACAACTAGCATTGTAATAGAATTAGCTTTGGTGATGCTTGGGAATGATGTTATTTGGCTTACAAATGTAAAAATCACAGCTTTAACATCTCCAGCTTTAATATATATAGTAAAGCAAATTGCAATTCCCTTATTCTTTAACATCTCCAGTTCTTCACAATGTAAAAACTTGCAGAGAGATCGCCATTGTTTTCTTGACAGATCTGTGCTGCAATGTGTAATTACATGGATGATCCTATGCAGACCTTACGGCTCCATAGCTCTGTGTTCTTCTGCTTCATTCATCCTTGTTTTGAAGAAACAACTTTGAATTCCATCCTTTTGGTGGAACAATATAATATCGCCATTAGTTCAGATCAAGAAAATGGAAATGGAGTATATATATATATATATACTACAGCCTGCAGATTCTAGCTTAATTAGCTTGCTTGTCTTTTAATGATGGGTTTCTGGCAAACTAAAAGTTTCTCGTCGCTATTGCTTTCGATCTCCACAACTCGAGCATCCCATTTCAGGCGTGTTGAGTGAGCTCTTGCTAAATCTACGAGGGGAACTGTGTCGCGTATGATAATCCATCCCTGCAGCACCATATATGCTCAGAAAGGTTAGTGAAATTTGCAGAAAAGAAAGCCCCCTCGGGGTTGAATTGAAATGAAAAACGTGTTCTGTTTTAACTAAAAGTTTAAGCTGATAATGCACCTCGGGACGAGTTAACCGGTCTATCTCGATGAACAGATCGAGCATCCCGCATCTGCTATGCTGCTCAGATTCGAGAGTTAGAAGGCCGTATGCATGGACTAGATCATACGTTCTTGGGTAAGTTGGAAATGCTTCACACCTGCCCCAAAACGACCATCCATTTAGTCCCGACTAAAAGTTTAAGCTAACAGTGAGACTGCACGTTTATTATTTACCAATCATGTAATACGCCAACGAATCCCCTGTCGAGGATGAGGGGAAGGTGGTTGGGTGCACCACTGGGAACAACATTCATGACCCAAACCGACTTTCCTGCTTCCAGTAAAGCAGCATTCAAACCACCAAAACGGGCGTTCATGTCTAGCACGTTCCTGAGCAAGTTATAGGGTGGAGAAGGGTCTTCGTCGCCAGGTCTCTTTGGATGATCAGAGAAGATTAATGGCGAGAGCAACGACCAATAGTTCTTAACAGAAGAGGTCCAGTAATGGGAATCTTCTGCAATATCTTCGGGCTGCAAACCTGATAACAATAATGCTCAAATCTGATAATGTGCCAATGCAATTCTCAACTATCAATTTGATAATGGCCCTGTTTGGTAAAATAGTTAGCCTATAGGTCAGTTTTGACTTATTTGACCACTATTAGTTGTTTGATTTGGCTAAAAAACTAATATAAGTATTTGGTTAATTAGCTTTTTAGAACTCCAAAATGTTAAAATTTAAAAAGTTGTTCAATGCAACTTTTTCAATTAGCTTTTTGAGAAAAAAAATTATACCAAACAGCTATCAGCTAACAGCTAATTTACCAAACACTTTTCTACAATCAGCTAATGTTATCAACTAATTATACTCTTTAATTAACCCAAACAGCTAACAGCTAACATCCATTTACCAAACATGGCCAATGTGTTAGTTAGTTACCATGGACTTTAAGTTCAGATGAGCTTAATGCAGCCCGAGAAGGCCACTTAGTCCGTTTCTCTATTGAAACCCATCGACGGCTCTGTGTTCCTCCAATGCAAGCCTCGAGGGGTCGATAATATGGAGATTCAATATCATGGCCTCTATTGCAAAGCGGAGGGCCAGAACCCGGTTTCCTGGAAACAGAAGCAGCTTCAAAAAAATTGGCAATAATCCCGAAGCAAAATCGTATGCTAGAAGTAACGGTCTTACCTCGCAGCATAACACTTCTTTTCACTCGTCTTCTTCCAAACAACAGTTTCCTCTTGCTGTGACAATAGTTTCCAGCAAAGATTATCTGCAAAATCGCGGACAGAGTTCCACTTCTTCTGGTTTTGTTTCTCACGAGGGTACAGACGAGCATTCAGGACAGGCGATGTCCACACGAAATATCCACCGGGTCTCAGCATTCTGTCGGCTTCAATCAAAAGGATTCCACCTAAACCACGTATAGAAAGTGCTTAGTGGTAACGAAAAAAATGAAACCGATTAACTAACATTCTGCAGCTGATCGAGTAGCACCTTTCTTGTCCCAGTCCACCTGACAGTCGGCACAGTGTATCATATCAAACGAAAGGAACGGGAATGGCAATTGCTTCCAAGTGAACGAACCAATCATTGCTGGAAGGCCTCTTTCGAGAGTGAGTTGAACTTGACTGCCAGAATCCTCGTAGCTTGCAGTGCACATAGTCAATAGTTGGCTGGAGAAAAGATGTGCCCCGAAGCTACCAAAACCACATCCAATATCCAAGATAAGTCGAACCTGAAAAAATGATGAATAACTCAAATAAGCTGAAAAAGCCACGCCCTAAAGAGAGGCTACTAACTTACTCCAGCTTGTACGAAATAGGATGCATTTCGTTGCCCGATCATTTCAGCAATTCGATGCGAGTAGTCTTCGACACTATCATACATGGCAGGATCTGAACGAAACGAAATCTGCTCATCCTCCAACATCATCATCCTGCAACGAAAAAAAAAAAAATGTCACGAGGGCGATTGAACAACACTACTTATAGAGAAAGTAACCTTAATTTGGACTAACCTCTTTGTCAAACTCCCAGAAGTTAGTACCTCCTGAGCTGTGATTTTAACATTTGCAAGCCAAATAACATCCTTTCCCGTAGGCCACCTTAGAGGCGGCTTGTAGTTAATAGGCGGAAGAATCAAGCAGCCTTGTTTGGACCCAATTCCACAATGCCTTTCATATTCTTCGCCTTTAGAAAAGCCCATTTCAAGACTCTCGGAAGCATTGAAGCAGGGGACGTAATTCTCATCAGTCTCGGGAGGACAGTACTCGAGATCCTTCAGCTTAGCAGAACCGAGAGAAATCTGCCCAATTTCCTTCAAATCCAACACGACTTGTTCCTGAAGCCGGCGATCCCCACGATACACTTCACCCTTTGATGTTCGGGTCATCGCCATTGTCCACCAAAAGGATTCAGTAAGAGCAACAACTACTATTGCAACTAAACTCAATTTGAGCAAATGCAAGGTGAACTTTAGTCTATTCCGCCGAGTTCCACTAACACAATGTTTCAAGGATGAATCATCAGGGAAAATAATCCTTAAAGGGAGTTTTATAGGCCAACAAGTATGATCCTTAGTTGATTGAAAATTGTCCAATTCTTGTTCTTCCTCCTCTATCCTATCTTTCTTCTGAGAATCATCCCAGAATTCATGGTTGTTCCCATAGAACTTCCCCTCACCCCCACCAGAAACACCTCTATACAATGGCCTTGCCATCATCGCCATGTCCAAATTCCACCCTGTCAATACCCACACACAAATTACAGTTTAAATGCACTCAACGCTGGAGAAACTTAAAGCTCTTCACTTAAATCAAGATGGGTAATGGCGATCCATCCCCAATTTTCACAAACCCAGACGGGCTATTCTATAATATGGCTGAAAAGTAAAACAAAATCCAAACTTTCCTAGAGACTGAGCTAACAATGGCACACTAAATGCCAGCAAAGTTAAAGAACGTGAACACGAGTTTCTGAGCTGCTTTCCAAGTATAAACACCGAGCAATTATAAAAATGGCATTAATTTCAAGTTCACCAGAGAAATTTACGCAATACCCAGAACCCATCGTGAATGAATTCAAGAAAAAACTGGAAAAAAAAAACAGTTTTTTTTTTTTTTACCAAACTCAAACAACATGTTCAAAAGGAATTTTTTTTTTTCATAGTAACTTAACAACATACCTTCTTCTTCTTGTTCTTCTTACTAAGAAGCCCAGAAATTCTTGAACAGCCTTACGTACAAAGAGAGCTGCAATCTTGTGGGTGTGTGTGAGTTTAAAGGAAGCATCACCGACGCAGTTTTTTTGAATTTTGGGAGAGAGAAAGAGAGAGACAGGGAATGGTATAATGCAGAGAGAATATGGATACAAATCACTACAGAACTCGCTCGTGAAACGCTTGAATCTATCGCCCTCCTGTGCTTCATACATGCCACCATGTATATACAGACAACATTGGATACAGATAATTTATTTTATATTGTAATAGTAACTTTTTACTCAATGATATCTCTCTTTCAAATGGGAGTTCACAAGTTTAAATTTTTATTTTATATTTCTACCTTGTACAGTCTAATACGTATTACAAAAGCGATTTTCAAGCAATTCGAGAAAGAATTATGATAATCTCAGTCAAATTTGTGTGATATTTATATCAGTAATTAAAGGTTTTAAGTTCAATATTTATGTTTATTAACTTTTATTTTTTATTTGTACTGAATAATTATGAGTAATTTAAACTGTTTACCCGTAGTTATTTGTTTAATTTGCTAGAATCACAACACTAACACTTTCCCATTATTACTTGCTTGAATCGGAGACAACTCCAATTAGATTAATCAAGTTATTGACTTAATTATGTTATAAGTTTCACTCTTCACGAGAAGGGTTATTATTATTATTATTATTATTATTATTATTGACTAATTTATTGTAGTTTTTTGTTGAATAAAATCACAAGATTGGAGTTTACTTGTTTGTTAACTGTAATCATTAGGAAAACGTTTGCATCAGAAAACACTTCACTTTGGGTATGTAGGTTTAAAAAAATTTCAAGCTGAATTGATTGAATTTTCTTTTATTCTTTAAAAAAAAAAAAAAAAAAAAAAAGAGAAGAAGTTTCTATATTTATCAATTATCGATCATTATGTTAAACGAATGTTTTTCATACACGTACCAATATACCATGTGGTACCCCCAAAAAAAATGCACAAATGATTTAATGAAATCAAAATTTACAATGTTCTTGCATGCAAAAAAGAAGAATACCCAAACAATTTTCTTTCTGAGTTAAAACCTCATTTAAATTTGTTTGAACGGTTAATTTTAGACAACTTAAACTAATTTATCTCATTGTAGTTTTTTACTAACTAGCTAGGGTCATAAGGCATATTTCACCTAGAATCTACATTCAGATAGCGATTACTACTTAGCTTTCTCTTAAATCAAAAGTACAACCAAAAGGTAAATGTAAAAAGTTTTGATAAATGATTGTACCAGGTGCAATAAAAAAATGTGGGAACAATGTCCTTATTGTACCTAAGAGTGCAAACAAGTCAAGTTGAGCTCGAATTTAGGCACTCAAGTTTGAACTTAAAAACGTTATAGTGGTTAGAGTAATAGAGTTTGAGCTCAAACTTGATCGAACTTACAAATTTAGTTTCTAGTTTGACTGGCTAATTTTTATAAGTTCAAACTTGATTCAATTTGCTCATGTTTTCTTCAGTACTACTTCAGATTGAGTTCATATATATAGAGTTTTCGAACAACTCGATAAGTCATGAGGCTAACAATTTTTAAATTTGATGTAAGAAACATTGGTGCATATGGTCACGATAATCTTTTTCTACTATTATATATTTATATGTGCGTGTGAGACGCTCCATAAAATAAATGTCAGCGTCCGAATTCAATTTTGGACCACGGATTGTGGTCCTTTTTTTTTCTTTTTTTTTTTTTTTTAAGTTCTAATTATTTGGGACAATTTTCTTTGATTTTGGTCATGCATGGTTACTTTGCTTAGAGACATTTTAGATTTTTAGCACTGAAAAGGAAAGATAACTTTTCTTTTTCCCTTTTCCTTTTTAATTTATAAATGCAATATACAATTACAAAAAAAAAAAAAAAAAAAAAACATTTGTTTCAATTACAAAAATCATTACTGACATACATATCATTATGAAATAATTATAAAATAAGCATCATATGTACCGCCTCAAACAAGGTGGTCAGGTCAATGCATCGTCATTGTATACATAAATACTACGAGTTCATTTTTTTCCTAATATCACCGCACTTTGTCTGGTACTATACACACTCTCAATTTTGTTAATTCCACCACACTTTATCCAAGGTATATTTTCGGGGCAAAATTTTTGTAAGTGTAATTAGAGCGTGGGAGTTTGTGTCTAACGTTCTCATCTTTACAATATGCTAAGTTACTTTCAACTGTGTAAGAAAGAAAGAAATACTGTGCACAGGATTTATGAAGGTGTCTTGATGGTGAGAGAGATGGACACAATTTTGGGAACTTTTTGTCATTTATCCATTCCGGAAAAGACAGGGTTTGGACTCACATGGTGACAGAAATGTTGCAGTCCATGGTTGATTGTGATGCTTTGTGTGTGGAACGTACAACGTAGTGATTAAACAATTAGCTTGATAATTATAATACTTCAAGTTATATATATACTTTCTTATAGTCCTTTTAACGGCTAAATTTACAAGGAGGGCTTCACGAAAAGTACACTATCAAATAGTAACTACGAGTTATAAAAACATTTAGCTTAATGGGAGCAACCATAGTCATATTAATCAGATTGTTAAATTGGTAATTACAATGTTATAAGTTCGACTCCCAAATGAGCATATGTTAGTCTTTTTAATTTGAGATTGTCAGCTATATATGGACAACCTAAATTGGTTTACCTCGATCCTAGCTAAGATCAAAAGATGGGATTTACCCTATTGACCTAAAAAACAATAGTATTTCACTTCATGATAAATATAGATTAATCTCTTTGTAACAAATCCAGAATCGCTACTAAAATAAAATATTGATGCTCTTGGACCGACTTTTCCTATAGATATTTTTTCTTTCCTTTGCAAATTTTGAAGACCTACAAGAAATACAAATATATATACATCTATCCAATATATGTTGAGTGTAATACGACATGGGAATTGAGAAAGGTTATTGCATTTGTTGTCTGGTTAGTTAAGTACGACGTTGGAAGTGTCGAAGAACATGGCATGCATGCCAAAAGAAAATGTTAAAAACATCATATCATAATAATACTGCACATGCATGATTAATGCACAAACTAAAGAATCATGCAAGAGACGACAGATCTCCATAAGTTAATTATGACAATGAAAGGGGGAATTGAAGGCATTAGACATGACATAATTTAAGGAATGCAACAACTAAATGCAGACTTTATCAATTACTACAAGAAGCAGATGGGGATGGATGGATATGTGGAAATATAGATTTCTTTCTCTTCATAATTTATATTCCGATACATATAAAAATCAACCCAAGGACCACCTACACTACACACTCTCATTTTGACTCTTGAGTGAATATATGCCCATTACCTACACTATTTAGCTTGTTTGATTTGATATGATATTTTTTGTTGTTGTTTTTTGGGCACAATGTTATGTTGATGAAAAACTTTGAATAAATTGTATATCATCGATCTCAAGATGCGTTAGACTAGCTCACATGTCACTTTAATGAACAGAGTGTTGAAAAAAACGGAATCAATAGATCAATAACAGAAAACAAAAATTAAAAAAGAAGAATTTCACGTGGTTCATCCAAGAACCTAATAAGTCCACAACACATTTCCTTCTACAGATGTGAATTCTTGGATAAAATTAATTTGTTGTTGAAATAACTTTTATCAGTTGAAGGATGACCATTATGACGTGATTTTATTATATGACGTATAAATTATTAATGAAAAAATTATATATCCTAAATGAATGAACTAAATATCCACAATGAATGAACTAAATATCCACAGTGAATGAATAACTAAAAATCAAGAATGAATGAACTAAATATCCATAATGAATGAACAACATAATGTTGTTGAGGGGAATTGAAATTGTTTTTTTTTTTTTTTAAATGTGACGCGCATTTTTAGTCAAAACGACGTCGTTTTGCAACTGCATGGTGCATACGGTTGCACATCATAACTATCGTCGGAATGTGATTATGATGACGGACCCGTGCTGCAAAACGACCCAATTATAAGCCCACAAAAGAACTAATTTAAATATGGGCCTTAGTGGCCCAACTAGTCTCATAAATTACGGCCCATACTCTAGTGTGACATCCACATTATAAAAGAATTACTGATGTATAGATTTATTTTTAGTTGAAAGTTATTTTTTAGTGTATGGTAGGTTATTGTATAACACACTACAATACGCAAATTGTATCGTACACTGCGGTGCATAATCGATTATGCACCGAACTTCAAACCGACGTCGTTTTATTTAATAAAAAGAAACGGCACCCATTTCGCGCCGTTCCGCAAAAAGTAATTCTGTTATGCAGTTTCATTTTGTATACACTGCAGTTTCAGTTCAACATAACTACAGTTTCATTCCGATATAACTACAATTTCATTCGATATTTATACACTCAAATCTGTGAAAATGTTATTTAATTTTATTTTATATACACTATAGTTTCATTAAAACACAACTACAAGATCATTTCGATATAACTACAGCTTCATTGCACAATATAACACTCAAATATGTGAAATGTTATTCAGTTTCATTTCACCACAACTACTGTATCATTTTGATATAACTGCAGTTTCATTTGATAATATATAAAATAATACGTGAGGCAGTGTCGGTTTAGATACATTGTAGTGTCAGTTTAGATACACTGTAGTTTCAGTTGGTAATTAACACACCAAAATGCGCACTCTGTTAACAGAAACGGTGCCGTTTTGACCGCGGTCCACGATATAACAACTGCTACAATACATTAAAATTAAATCTTTAATATACTAAAAATGAACATTTATTAGTTGTTCACCATACAATATAAATCATAATCTATGGTATAATTATTTGCCATAGTGCGGTTTTATCAATTGATTCCAGCGTGGAATAACAATTTGATGTTTTCAATCTTATTTTATTTTTTCCCAAAGACATATTGGTATGCCGTAGCAATCCGCAGTACAAGTATTATTGAATGCTATTTAAAAGGTTCAATTTCTTTTTGAGTGACAAGAGAAACTTACAACTAAGAGTAAACACATGCATGGTTAGGCACGATTTTTAATATATATCCTGAATTCCTGATTTACATGTTTGTTGAGAATTCTGATCTCTATAAGGTTTAAACCTAACTCAATGATTTTTAGTGATGCTATAGACAAAACTTGACTCATATTTG